CCACAAACACTCTGGTCCCGGCCACTGCAAAGTGAATTAAATAATGACAAAAACACCGTTAAACAGCACAAAATAAATAGGCCTAATTAAAAAATGTATAAAGAATGTGATCCTGGAGCACAAAATCAGTCAATTTTTCGAAATTTTCGAAATTGAGATGTAGATCATCTGAAAGCTGAATAAATAATCTTTCCATTGATGTAAGGATAGGATGGATAGGACAATATTTGGCCGAGATACAACTATTTGAAAATCTGGACCTAATATTATAAAACGGATAGTTCCGGTGCTTGATTCTGATCGGCTGAGCCGCGTTCGAAGCTGTTGTAAATGACTCTACAAAGTAACATACACCTTTGTTTACGTTTGTCTGTTGCTCGGCAACCACTTTGTTGCAACCACAACTGTTTCTGAGGAGCTACATTGTTTGGTGGAAGAATACTGTTTTTATTAATATCATTACACTTTATTTGCTCTGTTTTATTCTGTGGAACCTTACTACGTATATGGAATAACCGTTTTATAAAAGCAATAAGCCCCGTGAAGCTTAAACCACGGCTTCACGGGGCTTATTGCTTTAATAAAGAATGTGTGTGTGTCCAGTCATCTGACTGGTGCTCTAGTTTAACTGGTCTTGAGCTGGTCGACCTTTTCTTGGAAGTTGAAGATGGTTTCGGCCAGACGCTGGACGTACGGGTCGAGTTTGTAGGACTCCCAGACCAGAGAGATGCCCTCGGTGACGAGCGCCTGCACCTCCTTCTTCAGGCCGGCCACCAGCAGCGAGATGGACATCCTCTCCTCCACCTTCTCGCAGGTGCGCTCGTAGGTGCGGACGCTCTCAATGAGCGAGATGGCGAAGGGATACAGCTGATTGGCCTGATGGGCTTTGTTGACGATGGCCAGCGGCACGCGGAAGCTCAGCCACTTCAGGTTGCGCACCTCTTTGGAGAGCGTGATGATCTCGGGCAGGAAGTTGACCTTGAGCTTGAGCACGGTGCCGGTGCGTCCACGGGCGCGCGTGTTCTCGATGGTGAAGATGCGGCCCGACACGCCCAGGTTGCGCTGCTGCACCTTCTTTGCCCAGTCGTCGAAGATCTCCTGCGTGTTGAGCTTGGCGCGGAAGCTGTCGCCGTCCTGCTTGAGCTTAAGACCCTCCACATGGTTTTCCCAGCCCTTCCCGAGGACATCTTCCACGCGCTTCATGTAGGCCGTCAGCTGCCGGTCGATCTGCTTGGCCCAGATGATGGAGCCGGAGACGGGAGGCAGGTCTCGCACGTGGCTCATCTTGCACGACTGGCTCTGAGGATACTGCACCTTGAACTTGTCGTGCAGAGCCTCGATGTCGTCTTTGACGCGCTGGATGAGCTGCGTCTGGTACTCTCGGATGGCTCCGCGGATGTGCGGCCGCACGAACAGGGCGTTGAAGCGGGAGAAGATGCGGAACATCTCGTTGGCGTTCTTGGCGGTGCCCAGCTGGTCTCGCAGGCGTGCTGTGATGCGTGTCTCCACGCGGTCGATGCGCTCGTCGTAGCGCTTCATGGCCGCTTCCCAGGCCTCCACTCCCTCCTTCGAGACATCCAGTCCGTCCACTTCCTTCACGTTTTCGTAGGCCAGATTGACTTCCTCGATGGCGTTGACGTCTGCGGCATCGAAGAGCACCTCGGCCACCTTCATATCGTCGGGCTCGGCCGTGTTTCCCGGAGCATGCTGGGACACGGCGGACACCTGGAGAGAGGCAGTCTTTCATTAGTTTTAATGCATCCAGACTTTTACACATCTGATACAACTCAAGCTGATTTTTGTGCACGTACGATTGGAATCCCATTTAGTAAGTGTGGATGGCAAGACAAAAACACATGAAATACAATTTTTACAAATATGTTTCAAGCTACATTCATATGTGGTTTTAAATTCTGTGCCTCATAAGTCGCCAAGGCAACATGTTGTTACATTGTAAGAACATCTGTATTGTAGCTGTTTTTTTTATGTCAGCACACCAATGCAACATCACTGCCACAGAAATCAATGAAGATATTGTAAACTGGATCTGAAGCGTTGTGATACAAAGTGTGGACTGTCAATCAGACTCCAATCGAATGCACAAATAATCAGATTTCAGAATCAGGTACTGACAGTGTGAATGTAGCTGAAGGGACAAACCCTAATTTGAGGATTGTCTCCTGTTCACGTCTGTAGCTTTATGTTAATGCTTATATATTAATATGAACTAAAACGTTTCTGATAGACGATGTCATCTCAATCCTGTCTGTTGTGTCACAAACTCAATTTCAGGCTCGTCAGGAAACAATCTGATTAATGAAGGCTGGTCAAAAGAATCACAGATCAGAACAATCGCATCCAGAAGCCGTCAGAGTCATACCTGAGGTCGGAGCACGCGAACGATGACGGCTCTCAGCTGCTCGTGTTGCCGTCTGAAGCGCCGCATGTGATCCAAGCGGGCCTGGAGCTTCCGGTGGGCCGGACTGAGACGCCACACCATCTTCAGATTCTCCTCCCTCTTCCTCTTCACAATGTCCCTCAGGAGTACCTGCAGCTTCTCGTACTCGTCCTCCCACGTCTGGAAGACCTCGAAACACGCCACCATCACCTGCGGAGGAAGAAGAGCGTGAGGCGTGAGCTGCAGAGCATCACTGCGGGGAGAGCGAGTGCCGTCTCATCAGCCGTACCTTCTCAAACTCCTCGTACGCCACATGCATGAGCTTGCGAGTGCCCAGCACTTTGAGCAGCTGAGAGCTCAGGTCTCTGGAGATGGCCTCCACCAGACGCAGCGCACGCTGGATGGGGTACTTGGTGTTCCGGATCTTGCGCAGGTGATTGAAGATGGCCACCAGCGCCTGACGGATCTTGTCGAGCTCAGTGGCTGACAGGAGATCGTTGAGGGGAAAGTCCTTCATCAGAGGGTTGTAGTCGTTCACCGTCTCCACAGCCTGCTTCAGGCCTGAGAGAAACACACCAGAGCGTTCACAAGCGTGCAACATCATGGAGATGGCTCTCGGACAGACGGCTCACCTGTGTCGGTGTCGAAGCTGACCGTGGCGTGGAAGCGTTTGCCGTGTTTGAGGATGTCGAGCGTCAGCAGCACCTCCGGACTCTCCCTCTTCTCCTGGATGCGGTTCAGGGCTCGCTCCAGGTTCAGCCAGAAGCTGATCTCCTGCAGAGCCGTTCCAGACGCAGGGTCTCGGTCCAGTTTAGTCACCTGAAAGAAACGGCAGACAGACCCGAAATCCTGATCGACTGTAGGCTAGGCCTGCACACATCATCGGGGGCTAAGAACAGAACAATTCAGTGAACCTTTAGACAAAATCAAAATGAAAAATAAAAAAAAAGTTTCCATTTGCGTTTTATATTTTGTATCATATTTGCTGCATGAGAATATGGATGCAAAAAACAGCACACTTTATTCGGAGACTCAAACGGAGCAAAAACATGCAATTTTGTGCAGATGCTGATATTTACATGGCCCCCCCCCCCAAAAAAAATGAAATTCATATCCCAACGTAAATTTATAACTGCATTTATTTTAGCGAACTACTCTGGCAAAATAACAAATATCAGTTGTCACTCTTTATCTCCCAATTTTGCAATGTAATGTTTCAGCATGTCATTTCTCATGTGCAAGTTGCTCATTAAACCTTTGTTTAGATTTCCATTTGACTGTCATTAATGCTGGGTAAAAGATGACGTCAGTAAAAGATCTGCCGTTTTCGTCACCCAGAAAGAATGAGGCTTCAAATTAAACTGAAAACTGATTTGATGCACCAATTATTAGGCTTGTGATTCGTGTGGGGAATCTATCAGGACACTATTTCAGGGTTTTTGTACGTCTGCACCAATACCATTAAACATCACAATACTGCAGTTCTGATTTACATAACATTTCATTGATATTCTATAACTTATTTATATAAACCAGCAGGTTGAGTAAATAAGATGGAGCCTAGGCTCTCCTAACTGGACGAATGTGAAGCGTGATCATGACACATCATACTGTGAGGTATCTGCCGATCGCCAGCCCTGTTTATAATTGCAGTAGTTAGTACGGTGATGTCCTCTGAAGGTCAGCGGGTCTCAAACCTTCTGTATCTCCCGGATCCAGCGGTTGACTCCAGACTGCAGCTGGTTCAGGAAGCTGGGATCCTCCACTTTATCCCCGAAGTCTGTGACCTTGGGCTTCTCTGCGCGCTCGTAGCACTGCTTGGCCACGTTGGTGATGATGGGGTGGATGAGCAGGCTGATCTCGGGGATCTCGATGTTCTGCTGCAGGTGCAGTAAGCCCATCTCCAGCTCCGCGATCTTCTTCTCCACCGAAGGGGCCATCTTATCTCCATCCCTGCGCAGACACACAGACACGATGAGGCACGGCTTGTGCGCGTGTGTGTGTGTGAGGATGAGACGCGTTACGCTCTCGTTACCTGTCGGCTTTGCCAGACTCTCGGATGTAGGATTTGAAGTACGGAGACACAGCATTGCTGATGAAGGAGTGCAGCGTCTCGTACGGAGAGTCTTCGCTCAGAGTCAGAACTCGCACCTGAGTGGAGATGGGTTTGTCCGCATCAATCACTCCAGTCCGCTTGATCAGGGCCAGGCTGAAAGATCAAGATCAAGAGTTTCTGATCAGAACACGACAAGACCACATCGGAGTCACCAGCTCACGCTCTGCGCTCGTTACCTGTTTGATTTGAGCCCGTAATGGATGTCGATGCTGATGCTGTAGGAAATGCACTCGCGCTCCTCCTCACCTTCATCACCTACATCCTCTGCAGAACAACGACAAACAACCAGCTGTTTGTGATAAATCCGCTCGTCTTTATTGGAACATTCAGCACATCGTCTGACGTGAACACAGCAGACAAATAAATAAAATCAGCTGTAGACATGTGCCGGTATTTGGTAATACGATATATAACGGCACTTCAAAATACCGTGAATATTTAATACAAATTATTCCGATTTTTTGAATGCATTTTGCATCAGCTGGTTAAAATGCACAACACCGCTGTATGCTGCGTCAAAGACACATGCGCACTCTAATGAGAACAAGCCCAACACGGATGAGGCGCTGAATGAAAGCACATTCACTCTCGGACAGCAGGTGGCGCTGATGGAGCAGCAGAAATGCAGCCGTTTCCCCGGAAACCCCTTAAACACAGCTGCTGCTGCTACTTTGTGTCACTGTTGCCAGGTCCTCGGTTTTCCCGCAGAATCGGGTTACTTTAACACTGTTGCCGTGGGTTGAAGCGACTCTAATAACGTGATACTTAGACCCCGGAACGCGATTTTTAACGGGGCACCCTCCCCAGAAACACGATTGGGCTAGTTTAGAGTAGCAATTGTGCGGGTTTTGTTGTAAACATCTGGCAACCCTGCTGAACAGGACTTAAATGATTCAAACAGCCATTCAGATTTTTGTATTCGCTATGGTGTTCATTGCAGCACTGAATACTTACATAATTAGACATAATAGGCTATTTATCAAACATTTTAATCTGGATGCCCTAGATATGCCCTTTCCATTAAGGCTCCTCCATTAGTTAATTCTTCAATTAACATGAGATCTTATTGTAAAGTGTGACCTATTGTTCGTTATAATTCTTTCGCACTTTAATCTGTTTGAAACATTTCTTTTACACATTGTAGTTTTTTTTAATGCATTTAAATGTTCAGTTGTTATTGTTATTAGAAAAAAAAGGTATTAAACCTGTTAAAATACTGTATTATGACAACTTTTTTTTGCAACTTATTTAAATACCGTGATAATACCGCGATAATACTACGCCTGATACCGTCACATGCTGCTGGTGTTTGTGTTACTGCCTGGAGTCCGAGCACAAGCACAACAGCACTGCAGTTAAAACAAAAACAGTCACACACAAAAGAGCAGAGCGTCAGAACGTCGTTATGTCGCGTTCAGAGCGCTTCACTGACGCACGGGCTTTATAGATCGTGACGTCACTGATCTGCAGTGCAGCAAACACGCCCTGAACACACATCGATCACTTATTAGTGACTGTCACCACAGATTTAATCAGCCTCTTTACACCAGTTTCTGAAATTAACACATGGTGAACTTTAATTTTGACATCTGACAGTAGAGAGTCAAACAGGGCGGGGCTACACAAACCCTGCGACGATTATATGCAATAAAATATCACGAGATCGATGACAATCACAGCAAAACCGCGCCCAGATATCGAGATGCACGTAATCTGAGTTAAATCACACGTGTGAGCGACTTTAACCCTTAACGTGCGTTTAATGCATGATCATGCCGTGCGACTTTTAACCTTTCAGCGCGCTCCGCTCCACCAGGATCGAGTGAATCTGAGGATCCGAGAGGAACTTCCTCATCTGCTCCAGCGCGCTCTTCTCCTCCAGCGCGGTCTCTAGAGAAGCGGGAGCGTCGCCGCCATCTTCCAGCAGCAGCGGCACCAGCTTTCGGAAGTGTTTCTGCAGAACCGACGCGTCCGCTACCGTCTGCACGGCGGCAGAGACCTCCATCCCACCGCCGCCGCCGTCCTCTCCTCCGCCACCGTCAGACATTTCCCGCCGCGATGAAGCGCAAAGAGCCGAAGACGGAGCTGTGAGAGAGACCCGCTGTATCACGGACTCTGACACATCACCGGAATGACCAGCGCCCCGCTCGTCGACGATCTTTATTGTTTCACGGAAGTCTGGGATATGTAGTTTTTCCACCGGCGGAGCGAACGAGTGAACGCGGCGCGAGAACTACAAATCCTAGAAAGCCGAGAAGCGTCACACGCGCTCGCGTCTCTGCAAATATAAGAAAAAACAAACACAATAAAATGTCATGGGTGCCCGTTATAATATTAATATCATATCAGCTGATGCTAGTGATACAGGTGAATTTGTATTTTACTGACATAATGATTCTTATAAAGTGTCAGACTGATTTGAACATAAACACAGAAGCATTTTAGTTAATATTATAACAGGTTTGTATTATCGAATTTTACATTTAGTCTGGGACAGTGTTGCCAAGTCCTCTGTTTTCCCGCGGAATCGGGCTACTTTAACGGTTTAGCCCCTGGAATGCGACTATTACCGGAGAACCCCGCCAAAAACGTGTATTTTACCCCGGAACGCAATTTGGGCTTGTTTTGAGCATGGTTTTGAGTAGCAATTAGGCGGGTTTTGTTGTGAAAATCTGGCAATCCTGGTCTGGGAGCATATCGCTTACTTTCTAAACCAAGGTTTTTATTGACTTGTACCTTCACTAAACCTGAACAATACCTCACATTAACTCTAAACCTTTAATCTGAGCTGTACCGAACCTGTACGTGAACGACGGCCGTCACGTGACTCGCACCTGTCAATCAGCGCCGAGCGCTCGCGCAGAGCTGTCACTCACGATGCCGCAGCAGTCAAAGAAAGGCAAGGTACCGCTTCAGAAGTTCTTCGATAGATTAACTCTTACATGCGTAGATAATCGTTTAGGTAGATTAACTCAGTTAACTTGTATCTGTCTGTCTGTATCTTGTTCTGTCATATAAATCAATATAAACGTTCAGTCTGAGAGATCCAGCAGAAGGGGAAGCAAACAGCATGAAGATGATCAGGACTCTGAAAATGAGGTAAATACTGAGTATTAGGATGAAAAGTGGTAACCGTTCAGATGCTTTGACTTTGTATCATCTCATGTTAGATTTTTAGAAATATACACAGTGCCCAGTTATACCAGTTTTAACATTATTCAGCCATAGGCTACTTTACAAACACTGTTTTTCTACGGTGGGAATAGATTATATGCTTAATATCAATATTCAAAAATGGAAATTAATATTATTTATTATTAGCACAGTTCTTTATATAAGATCTCATTAATTTCAGTTGATTTGCTTTTAAATACCAGTTCATTTGATTGTATTAATATTAACGAGAATCAGTTTTATAAGCATTTCCAGAGTCATGCTGGTAAAATGACAACATTTAACAGAGCTGACGCTGAAATATGAACTGCAGATGATCATACTAGTATTTCTGCCATAGAACGATACTGTCTGTAATTCAGCACGACTCTGGGAATATAACACAGATCCGTGGATAAATGATCCCAGCGTCCTTCCTCCAGCAGGAAGTCAGGGCTGTAACAGGAACCTGCTCTGTGTGACTCTGGTTTCAGAAGAAGAGCGTGGGCTCCAGAAAGCCTCCCAGCGCTCAGCTGCTGCGCTCCAAGCAGCCTTGTGTCCCGAGCGCGCTGAAGAAACACCGCAGACTGAGCGCCTCGTGTTTCCCCGTCAGCCTCGACCGAGAGCTGCTGCCGCTGGACACGCTCACAGGTGCTGAGAGAGAGAGCCAGAGGCGTTACCAACACACCCGCAGCAGATGTGTGTGTGTGTGTGTGTGTGTGTGTGTGTGTGTGTGTGTGTGTGTGTGAGAGAGAGAGAGAGAGAGAG